GGTTAGGGTAGAAAAGACCTTATTTGACTACTTTCCCTCGTCTGGACCCCCCCCATAAGCTCTTAAATGAAGAACAGGTACAAGTCTCATTTTCTTTTTGACTGCCATCCTGAACTAGAGTTCAGAACAGCTACTGCTTCCTCAGGGGACCATCCCAAGAGCTACGGATCTTCAAACTATGGAAAGTCTTCAAATGTGGTCTTTTCTACCCTAACCTGACCCAGCAGTCAGTGAGCAGATCAGTCAAGGTTACACCCTATTAGCCTTCTATTTCAAGCATCTGTAATTCTTACAAAGAATCAGCTGGAAATGAAATCCGAGGAGTTCTGAGCTGCTTTGCACCATTAAGCACATGGTTTGATATTTTGTGTGCAGTTATATTGGGCCTAATTCTGTTTTTACAGCTCTGCATTTACCTAGGTGTATTGCTATTGAAATCTGGAGTGTTATCAGTGAAAATCAGTGCTGGAAGATGAATTTGGTCATGCGATTTTTTTGGAAGTCTTTTAATAATAATTGATTATTAGTTTGCAATTTGCAGTTAATTTAATTTGATTTTTAATAGTCAGTAAAATGGCTTTTCTTTATTTAAAAGGCTTGGTACTGCCACATATCTGCAATACTACCTATTCTTTAACTCTGATGTTTGCACCTCTGAACTAGCCACACAGCCACCAGCATGTGTATTTGAGAGAAAATAGAATGCATCTGCAGCTGAAAAAACAAAATGATGACTTGATGTGGAAAGGGCAAGGGTATAATACAAAACACTACTGACAGCTTGAAATCTCTGTTGAAACAGATGAGTGTATAAGGTACCAGATTCACGTCCAGTGTGCCTGTAGAGAACTGTGGAAATATAATAGGGATTGAATGTTTCTCTTAGAGGAGGAAATATATATTTAGATGAAGCGTGTGGAAGTAGGAAATGACTGAGGCTTCATATCTTTGTTGTTGGTTTTTTTTTTTTTTCATTTGATTTTTTATTTTCTCTGTGTAGTGTAGGCTATAATTTACAGTTGGAGAAAGTAATACGTATGGCATCTTGCTGAGAGAGAACAGTGTATTTGAGGTGGGTTAGCATGTTACAGATTCCTGACATGTCATGCCCAATTAATGGCACTCCAATTTCATGAGGGATAAAAATATTATAGGATACTAAAGTTTTTCATGGCTATGGTCAGATTTCAGCACTGCAAGTAGAAGAAAAAGAAATTGCAGTGACTAATCTGCCAATGGAAGGTGACACTGAAACAGTGCTGCCTGAGGAGAAAACAATTTCAAAGGGAACTTCTTATGGAAGAGAAATTGTAGAACCACTCAAGTTTGGAAAAAACCTTCAAGATCATCAAGTCCAACCCTAACATGACCTCTTGAGTCCCATGACCTTTAGTGCCATGCGCTCATGTCTATTAAATACCTCAAGGGATAGGGACTTCACCATTCCAATGTTTGATCACTCTTTCATTGAAAAGAATTCTTCCTAGTATCCAATCTAAGCCTCCCATAGGACAACTTGAGACTTTTTCTTTGTGTCCTATTAGCTGTCACACAAGAGAAGAAGCCAACACTCTCTTTGCTGCAACCTCCTTTCAAGTTCTTGCAGAGAGCAAGGAGGTTTCTCCTGTGCATGCTCCATCAGCACCTGCATATGTCCTTCCATCCAGTTTTCCATGCTGGAAAAACAGCTTCCTTTTAAATCTGTGCACCTGGCATTTCCTGCCCTTATACCTGGTGTGGGACTGATTAGTGGCAGGTCATCCACACAGAATCAAAGATCAGGAGGTATTCCTGGGCCCAAAGAATAGACACAATTGTGCAAATCAGGTCTAGATCTGAGTCAACTTTTTTTCCTGATTTCTTTACTGTATACTTTCTACATACTGCTGGTTTTATTTGGGGAATTTACAGCGATCAGTCTCGAGTCCTCTTAAATTTAAGGCAATGGTAATTTTCCCACTGATAGCATTAAGATGAGGTTCAGACACATATACAGCACTAAGGTGAGGTTCAGACACAAGACTAGGACAAATGCATCTAATTGTCCTAACGTGCTCCTTTTGTTACAATTGCCAAAACATTGCCTAACTGCCACCATTCTTAGAAACAAAGGAAAAGATGAACTGACTTTGAACTGCTGGCTTAGGCTGCATAATCTTTCAATTATTAGCAGAGTACTGGAAATATTTAATAGACCAGAATAGGAGAACTTGTCACAGGAATACCACTGCGTATGAGCAAAACTTGTATTTGTTTTTGCAAGATGATTAAGAAAATAAATAATGTTTTACTTACTTTTAGATAACAAATGTAGCTACTGAAAGTTCCCTGACTGCTGAAAATGGAAAACTGAAGAAATGTGAAGGTCAGGAGAGGCAAACCATAGCAAGGTAGTGGTCAATATTCCTAAGATGTGCTTTGAAGACACATGAGAAGCCCCTACACAATTTTAACCACTTCTTTTTCTATTTTTTTCCCCCTCTGTAGAAAGAAAGCTGAGCAAAGTAATGCAGTATGGAAAAAGAAATTCCAGATTGTACAAAACAGGTGTAGTATTATAATAACTTTGGTTGCATTGATAAAATACTAAAAATCAGACTTTGCAAATCAGTTCTTCAAGATAAAACCCTAGGGCTGCTCTGGTTCTTGTGTGTGCTCCACAGGCAGCACAGATCAGATGGCATTAGGTTTAGCTCCCTCTGCACTATGCAGTCCTCTGCTGCTATCTCTAGAAACCTTGAATTTTCAAACACTCATATAACTTTAGTCTGCATCTTAGAATGAGCAACATACATATTTGGTGTCATGCTGTAAAAACACCATTCTCGTAGGCCATGATATCTCCAAGATAGCTTTTAGGTAGAAAGCATCAGATCAAGAATATCTAAAATCCATATACAGTATAAAATAGAATCACAGAATCATTAAGATTGGAAAAGATCATCTAGTCCAACCCCAACCCACCCCCACCATGCCCACTAACCATGTCCCTCAGCTCCACACCTACATGGTTCTTCAACACCTCCAGGGACTGACTGTTTTCTGAGAATTTCTAGAGAGTTTCAAATCCAGCTGGGCTGGATCCATATTTTAGAAAGACAAACTCCCCTCCAACCGCACACTCTACTGCACTTCAGATGGTTATTTTACTTTTTATCTCCCCAGCACTCCTCAACGGTGTGAGAATGGTGTAATTCCCATCCTACAAATGGTGAACTGTAATGAAAGTACATCCACTGCACAGCAAACACTTTGTGCTTATACAGTTTGATACAATATCCCTAAGGTCAACGGAGAGCTTCTTGTTAAGTTTGTTACTCATTGAGATTGGCCTCAAGTTATCCTCTCATCTGAAAATTATGGGAAAACATTATGTTGATACAGTGATAACATAATGACAGTCTTATCGGTGTTCTTAGCAATCATGCAAGACTCAGTAGAAAAATAAAATTATATTATTGTTATCTACTCAGCTCTATCTTAATGAGTATTTACTGTGTTACCTGAATGGGCAGGGACTGGAGCGTTTTTTAACAGAGAACATTAGAATTAGTTGCTTAAGAAAGAGATTAATTTCTAATTTTATATGCAGCAAAGAACTCTCACATCATGGAAACAGATTAATTTAGATAAAAAGGCAATTAATGATAAGATACAAATAGCCCATAGGAAGGAAAATCATTATCTCTTGCTTCTTTTTTCTTCCTGACAGTGTATTAAAGGACTGTGCAATTTTTTTTTACAATGCAGTAGGATTACCTGGTCAGCATATTTACCTTGAATTTTATGCTGTACATTGCTATAAATTATTATTCTATTATGTGCATAGTTTAAAATTTTAACTATAAAATATATGAGCCCCCTTGTGATCAGAAAAACTTCAGTGTGTTTATGAGTATCATCAAAGACTGTGGCCTGGTGGATGAAGTGCCTGAAAAGTATCTAGAGAGCATTGAATGCTGGTTGCTCCAAAAGTAATGCCTCCTGTTTGTTTCCAGTGAAATGACAACTGATACAAAGAGCCCAATAATAGCATCTGATAGAACTAATTCACACCTACAAAATACTCTTTTTCAACACAGACACCACCATTGGCTATGCATTTCCTCCAGCAAAGAACAAGAGCCTGCATTCTATGTTTGTAAAAATCTGCATGAGTGGAGATGGCCCTCTGTCACTGTCTCCACTATTGAATCACACCACCCACCACCTCATAGTGCTCACATTCACTGTTTGGTCTCCAGAAGCATTCAACAAGCATCGATGAATATCATCGGGTGCCACTTTATCCATATGGAGCAATTCAGTTACACTCCTTTACTTCCTATGCTATATAATCAGTGAATATTAGGCTGTTATAATTACAAAATAAACAAGAGAGTTAGGCAAAGTAGACTGTTATAATAAAAGAGAATAAATGGAAGGCTTACCCTTATGCTGAGCTCACCCACAAAACACCAATAGAGGCGATCTCCAGTAAAGAACCTTCCCCACTGGTAGCCAGCTCTTAAATAGGTCTAGGAGAGGTGCAGCCTGGCTCCACCCCTTCTGGCAGCACAGGTGAATTGCCTTCACCTGTGCTCCTCTGGCTGACTCATGGCTCACCTCAGGTGATCAATCAGAGGTTCAGGCCGTGACTCAGCAGTTCCCATACATATGCTCTCACATGTCATATACCAGTCAGACTGCCCCTCTGATGCCATCTCTCACACAGCAGCAAAATGTACCAGAATATTGGCAGGAAGGTTCAAGCCCTACTGCCGTACCACCAACACCTGCCTCTGACAGTGTGGCCAACACAATAAAACAGGAAGCATTGTTTTTGGAAGAGCTTTCATGTGTCTGATTGCTCCTTTTAATGACAGTTCTCTTTCATTTTTCATAAAAATTAAATCCATTTAGGTGTTCCTTTACTCCTTTCTTAATTTGCTATTTGCCGCTAAAAGATCTGTGAAGTTCTTATCTTGTAACCACACACAAACAGGGCACAGAAATCAAACTTTATCATCTCTCCCCACTCAAGTATAACAGCTGTGACAGGTGCTAGTTAATGTGAAATGGTTTTTGTAACATTTTTTTGGTTTTGCTTTGTTTTTTTGGTTTTTTTATACAGACTTTTTTTTACTTTAAAATCTTTGTGTCAAAGACTTGAGTCACATCAAGCCATGTTGTCTTCTAGTATTACTTAACTGCAACTGAGCTCTGGTTATTTTGTGGCACAAGAGACTATTTAAATGCCAGTTATCAAACTTTCTTGGCAAACACAGGAAAAATAATCCAAACCATCCAAACTATTACCCTTACTTAAGAAAAAAACTTACCACCTGGAACAATTTTCATCTTATTTTTTTCCCTTTGCTTACCTTATTTTAGAAGTTCAGTTTCAGTATTGTAATACCTTTCTTTGTTCAGGAAGAGGAAAAAAAACATACAGCTGTTCAAATTACCTCATGAGCTGGACCTTGAGAAATTAGGTAGCAATTTTCAATGATTAGATAAAGTATCAGCACTCAGAGGTTAAAGATACAGTAAACTTACAGACAGAAAAATGACAGTATTTAGAATTCCAGTTCTGTTTCTATTCCTCACAGATTTTTCCACTGCATAGGATCTGTTACTTTACTCATGTATTTAATATACTATACTTAATATAATATATTAATGGCATTTTAATGTCTATGGATTACTGAATTCTTACTGGTTATTGCTCTACTTTTGCTGATCAATAGTGTTTACCTAAGTATTTCCCCTGTAAAAGATACGAAAAGTAAGTTTTCTCTAACTGGCAATTTTAAACTTTAATGTTATGTATGGTACTGTTCAGAATGGCAGCATAATATAAGTTCATTCAATATGAGATTTTTTTCAGTCTGCATGCAACTAAGGACGAGATGTTTCTTAGACAAACACTGCAACGCCAGTTTCTAGCATTTAGATATACATTTGCTGGTGAAACAGTAAGCAGAGACACAGCAACTGGACTGTTATTTTAACTGTTATGTTTTTATTGGAAGTCATGCTGAGCTTTCTAATGTAACAAGTCATAGAAGCCAGCCTATAGCATAAAGTCAAACAAATTTGATAGCGAAAATTGTGAAATGGTAAATCCAACAAAGGCAGATTGTCAAGGCCGGATATGCTCAGCTGCACACAACACAATCTTGTGTACGTAGTATGTGTACAAATATCACACATGGTAGAGCCTTAATGATAGCTTTTGCAGACTCCAGATTTGAACTAAAACTACAGACTTCCCCTTGCTTCACCTGACAGAAAGTAGAGGGATTAGGAACTATAAGACTTAGTGTATTTCTTGCTCTGAGGGCTACTCACATTGTATGTCTTAACGCAGCAGGGAGTGCAGTCCCTAAAAACTATCCATCTTCCTCCTATGCAAGTGTATACAAACGTCAAGAGTGGCATTTTGACCTTTTTTCTGGATAAGTTTAGTAGGGTGAAGTATGTCCTAGATTAAGATACAGGACTTGCACAGACTTGTTACTTCAGTTACTTCCACTGATTTTTTTCCTGATAAAGGAAGTATATCTGACATATTTATACATATACAGGATATTAATATATCAACTTCAGTCTCAAATATATTCAACTCTTCTTGTAAAAACTGGACAATTCAGGAACAGATAAGTTAAAACATTTCCCTTTGATTTATAAAAGATTATGCATTGCAAATCCATATTCAATAAGTGTCAAAAAAATGTTGCATCCTTTTCAAAATCTTTTATTAATGTTGATTTCTTGCTTATCAGCTCATATGCTTAAACAACACTGTCTTAAAATGTGTTTAATATATGTCTGGTCTGTCATTTACAGATGGTTTGCCCTATTTGTATTGAAAATGACATAAAAGGCACAGACAGATTCAAAGATGGCTCACATTTACCTTCAACTTTGGTAAGCATTTTTCTTTTTCAGAACATAAAAGCTCAGATATGCTCAGCAGTAAGTAGGGGTAGCATTTCTGACAATTCTGTGAAGCATAAGACTGTGACATATCCAGGAATCAACATTCATCATTTTCATAATGGACAGTTGTTTCAGTGAAAGAATTTCTCAATGTGAGACAATGATTTGTTGCTGAGACAGAGATATTTTTCTTTACAACATGAATTGTGATTATTTAAATGTATTTCATGATTGAAATATTTAACATATTCATATCTTCCGAATGTTGGTTGCCACGTGCATGCAGTAACAAACATTTGGGTAAAGCAATCCACATTCAGTTTTAAAGCTAACGTAGCTTGAAATAATGAATACATGTTTGTGGCTGCAACTGTAACTACCTGACTATGAACCAAAATAGTATTTCTCTGCGAGTAACAAGACTGATATAAGCTTGATTCATCTAGTACTAAAATAAATGGGAAGACCAGAGTGAGAAATGAAATGGCATTCTAAAGTTCTGAATAGCACGGTTGCCTAAAACAATAACATTTCATTTTGTCTTTTAAGCCTAATGCCTCAAGCTCAGTGAATGGATTATCAGACTCTTTCAGGGGAGGGATCCAAGTTATATCAGACTAATAGCTTCTCATGATCTTCAACAAGAAAATATTTCTCATCTAGCCCCCATTATATTCCCAGTCTACTGGAAAGCAGAAAGAAGACGCAGGTGAATTTCCTAGGCTTCTAAACACACCAAAGATGGCCAGTGTTTGAAGATGGTGAGTTCGAAATCTTTGATGCAACGTAGCCTATTCTGCAATTTAAGTATTTGTTTCTAACTCTTTAGTATATACTTGAACATAATCGTATTTCTCCAGATACATTTTCCTGCAAACCTTCAATGTACACAGAGCTTTTGGGGTCTCCTTCTTTGGAGATACTCAAAACCTGCCTGGATGCTTTCCTGTGCAATTTACTCTAGGGAATCTGTGTTAGGTGGGGTGTTGGAGTAGATGATCTCCAGAGGTCCCTTCCAGCATAGTTCTGTGTGACTGTGAATAGTCCTCTCTTCCCACGAGAAAGGAGATGAACTCAATGCCATTTCAATGCTGAATTCCAATCTCACCACTAAACTGTATTTGAAGAACATTATGAGATATTTACCTTTTCTTTTAGCATCTATAAAAAATACACTACAACAACAAAGATGCATGAGTATAATACTAAACCCTCTTCTTTTCAGTATCTCTACTATTAAATAATTTTTAAAATGTAATTGCAATTAAGCACAATATTGTTCACTCTATCTCTTAGGAATGTTAGTTAATAGTTTATTTAAAAAGCAGGATTGTTCTGAGGGCTTTTTGTTTATTTGATATGTGGTATAACAATTTATTTACCAATACCTTATGGTTCCTTCTCTGGCAAGATGCTGAGTACCAATATGCGGATAGCAGTGTTTAATTCAAGCGGCTGTGCTTATGTCTAGAACAAACCACACATATCTAAATGATTTGTTGTAATTTTCATATGTATTTCTGACTATGTAAATATAGAGAATTGCTACCTTTTCTACATTTTTATCTGTAAATGTGTGAACATCATTTAAACACTTCCCCTTGGTTTAGTTATACACTCCGGCATTCAAGTTTTTACTTTGAACATTGCTGTACTCCTTGTATTCTGTTTATGTAGCTCTTCTTCAGCTATTCTGATTCCGTACGTACAAACTGTTTTTATTTTGGGATGAGTTAGAGGTATCACAAGTGTGGAGATCATTCTGATAGCCTTGATCCCTTGGACAGTCCTAATTCTGGAAACATTATTTGCCTCTACTGTTTTGCAATTAGCATTGGCTGTGTTGTGATCAATAAATAACAGTGATAAGGGCAACCACGAAGTGTATATTGTATGTCACAGTATTTTGTGAACAATCAGATTTTTCCTTCTTCCTGTCGGCTGTTTGCTGAAACTATGAAAAGAGAGCTAAGTTAGCCTGTATGCTTTTGGAGCATTAACTCAGTGTCAGTTCCTCCACATGTGGAAGGCTACATTCAAAAGGACTCAGATCTATTACATTCTTGCTGGAGAGGACTGCCCAGTATACAAGTGGAGGATTCTTTGGGATTTGAGGCAAAAAGTTCTTTAATAGCAAATTTACACTTATCTCAAAAACACAAATATCTTATTCAAGACACAAGAACAGAGGACTTGCAGGAATCCTCTAATATATATATATTAAGCAAGTAGGGATGTTTTAGATGTTTGAGTGTTTATGGCTCTTCTAGTTCCACATGAGAGACTGTGCATTCTTGATAAACAGATGAAAGTACAATAACTTTAGAGTCTGGATGCTTCACACAATGACATTAACACTAGTTACCTTTACTCTTCGAAGTCTATCTAACAAATGCATAACCCTTTTAAATACCTACCAAGCAGGAACTTGTCCAGACAGGCACTGTTATTAGCAATCTTGGTAATTGCCAGTGTTTTATGAGTTTGAACCAAATGTTTTATCATTCAAAATAAGAGCACCCTTATTATGCAAGTCTCTTCATAAATCACAGATAAAACACGTTACATAGAACTATGTGAACTATATGAAGCTGTATTTGTTATATTCAACAGATGATACTAAGTACAATTAAACAGTTATGCAGTTAAACAATATACAAATAAATAGACTCGAAATTCAGGTTATAAACTATTGTCTGTTTTTCTATTTTGTTTTTGTTATTGTTATTTTGTTCTTGTTTTGTTTTGTTTTGTTTTTAACTAAGGACTAAGATTAAAAACATTGCTGTGCTGTACTGCTTTTTCATACTGTTTGTTGATTGCTGGTAGAAGAAGCCACACAGTAATTCAGTTTGATTCTTTCAGCGCAAGAAGAGTGCAATCTTCTAGCAGTTTTGCCTACACGAAGTCCTTCTCTTAGTAGATCTCCCAAACAGATCTGTGCAAATACAGGCAGTTTGGATGTTTCTTTTGCGGCAAACTCTATCTATTGTCTGTCACTTCGCCCGAGAAGAATTGCTGCTAGCATTTTAACAAGTGTCGATCTTTGTGAAGAAGAGACACGCGAGAAATTGAACCCACGTCCCAGAGCGTTGCCAGCGCCCCTGGCCCGCAACTACCTGAGGCCGTTCCCTCCCCCCGCGCCGCGCTTCAGCACCACCGACAGCTCCACGCCCGCACACGGCCGCGCATCGGCGGCCCCGCCGTAGAAGCGCTGGCTGGGCGCAGCACCGGCCCCGGGGGTGGCTTCCAGATCAGCCGTGGCCTTGCTGTCCTTCTGTCCTTCCTTTCCAGCCGTCAGCCCGCCTCTCAACCCTGATGAGTGCCTGTTATCAGAGACCCGTCTGCGCACAGCCAGGGGATGGTATCTCTGGTGTAGTTTTGTCGGAAGGTAGAATGGCATTCCGCAAAGGTTGCGTGAGTTCTAGCCAGTGGGAAGCTATTAAATGATTTTAGCTACCTTTTGTTGTTGTTGTTTTAAAAGTACGTGATAAACATGAATTTAAGTGTGTGACAGGATTGCTTAAATGTCCTTCTTAGGCCTGTACCTCACTTATTTCTTGGCTATTCCTCTTAAAGGCATGTGCTCGAACAACTCCCTGGGCGCTAGCAACTGGGCCTTTCACAGACAGCAGTGGCACCCGTGAAGAATTCAGACTGCTCTTGAATAGCTTTCCACTACCAACCTCCAGGTATGCACGTGAATATTTTGGAAATGCTTATGCTTTTTTTATGCTTTTTTTTTGCTTTTTTTTTTTTTTTTTTTTTTTTCTCTCTCCCTCCCAAAACTTAGAGATGATACAACTTAATTCTTGCAGAAGTTTAAAACAACATTATTCAAATGAATAAATGACTTTTTAAAGTTTGGTACCATTCATCCAGCTGTGCACTTCAGCCTACTCATGCATAAGTGTCCTCTACTATGGATTGGGTGGGTTGGATACTGTGGGTTGGAGCTGAGGTTTTGTCTAGTTTTTGTTTTAATCTCTATTTAATGTACAAGCACAGATGAAAGAATACTGGCAATGTATATATTTAAGTATTAACAAGATGTGCATATAACTCCAATGCATTAGGGCATAAAACATTAGAAGTCCACACCTAAAGGCACTTCTTAACAACTCAAACCTGCTCAGGGCCCAGGATCCTTCGGAGTGTTTTAATGAACTGAATGAGCCCCAGTGAGGTCAGTCATCCCTTTAGAGGATGACCCAAAAACGTAGCTATAGAGTCATCCCATCCAGGCCCTCTGCATTGCAGCTGGACTGATAATTAGTGTTGGTGCTTTGTGTAAGAAACTCAAAATACCTGTAAACCGTCGTTCAATTAAACTGTTTACTAAATTTGCCATTAAGAACGGGTGATAACTAAAGATCAGCCTTCGGGAATGACAAAAGGAAGTGCACAACACTGGAAGGCGAAGTTTTGCCACAGTGTTTACTCCCATTACTCTTGTTTGAAGATGATAAAACTGAACACCTACAAACATCTATGCTTTCCATTGTACAGCGTCCACCGCTGTTGCTTTTTATGTACTCAGGGAGATTTTTCTCACAGTCTGGTGTTTGCATCTATTGACTTTGTAATCTGTAGACAGACTCTTAATGAGCAGAAAAGACAAGAACCACGGAGATAAACCCTTAGAATAACAGTGAGCCTTTACAGCTTGTCAGCAAGAGAAAGCTCAAACATAAATATCTGGTTTACAGAAGTAACACAACTTATTTTGATAGATTACATTGTTTCTGTTTCAAATTACTCTGTCAAAAGGGGAAGAAAAGGTTAAAAGGTCATATTTTTTAAAATGCTTGAAAGGGCTCTTTCAAGGGTTTGGTTGGTTTTTGGTGTTTTTTCCACAAATACCAACCCTATGTTTAATCAATTATTCGTGGTGGTGCATAAGCTCTACTTCGCCTGCCTGTCAAAGGTGCTGATTTTGTTAAATTCAGTTCTAGAAGCCCCCTCAAATGGGCAGGAACAGGATCTAAAGACCCCAGAGGTGGGCTGCAGATCGGAGGCATTATTCCATGGTTTTCCTGTTGAGCGAGGTTTTCTTTGCTGTTTTGAGTCCCTTTTCGAGAGTAGGGGACTTGTAAGCAGAAGGGAGTCAAAGTTTGTTTTTGTTGTTGGAAAAAGCTTTAAACAACGAGTATCCATCCCGACAAGAGGTAATCGAAGACATCATATTCACACAGTTTAACACGCGTCAAAAGAACAGAACAGATCCTCCTGGCCGCGCGGGGCTGAATCAGCTGTCTTGGCCATCAGCGCAGCATCCCCCGCGTGCCCGCACACCGCAGGCAAACCCCTCTGCTGCTCCCACACCTGGAGCCGGTGCACGGCAGACAGCGGGGCCGGCTGCGGCCGGGGCCCGACGGGGACGGGGTGAAGGCGCTGCGCGGGTCCCGGCGCCGCCGATGCGCGGTGCGCGGTGCGGGCGGAGCGCGGGCACGGCCCTGCCCCGGGCGCTCGGTTCACCGGCAGCCGGGAGCCGGAATAAATCACAAAGGCACGTTTAACGTTAGTGACTCTTTAAATGGAATTTTTCATTCAAACTTTGTCATTAAAATAGAAAGGCCTTTTGGCCGTGACCATACGAGCATAATAAATCGTATATGTTTGCGATACTGAATGAATCTCGCCCATATGCTGCGCTGCAAGGCTACATGAATGAAGCATTTACCAAATCAGGCCCACCACATTAAACAGAAAAACAATCTTTATTCATGGTAACTTATCAGTTACAATTAATCAACCTCGACAATAGAAATTCTGATGTGTTCAAGCAACTTGAAAGCAATAGGTCATCTCCAGGGCAGCCATGTTGTGTCTTTGTGCCTATGGCTTCGAACAAAGCGACATCTCCGATAAATGTACATCCCCACACACATGTGTGCGCCTCCGTGGATAAATATCTCGGCACGCCGAGGGCCGCGGCGTACGCGCACGGCTGCGCGGAGAGTGTTTATCTTTTTGTCATACAAAAAGTAATTGTTTTCTAGTATTTTTTGAGCTCCGCAAGTTTAAACAAAAGCAAAGAAATTTCCATTGGATGACCATCCTTTCAGTTTCTCTGCTGCTATGTGAATAGCATTGTGCAAACCATTCCAACGGTATTGAAAAGGGGTAACCATTGGTTTGATTTGGTTACACGGTTTCGTAAAGAGCTCCCTCCCACTGCCTTAGGGTCTGTGAAAGGTCCGTGACCTGTTTAGAACTGCCGAGGGAAATGTCATGTCGCCCCTCCCAAATGGGAGTATCTGCATTCATTTGATCAGTATAAAAAATGATTGGGGATGGCGAGATCAGGGCTTTTGAATCGCAATTTATAGCAGTTTA